CTCATGTCATGACACACGTGTCATAGTTTAGGTATTAGGCATTCTTCATCCATTTAAGAAATTAGAGGCCATTTGTCATGCATTCTCTCTTCTCCTCTATTCACATTGCAAAATCTGTTTTTATCATCACCCTTCTCTTCTTCTTTACTCCACTCTCTGATGGAGAGGTGGCCTTTCTCCTCAACAAAGTCCTCACATTCACTTTTTAAATTATTTTTAAATGTAATTTTATTTCTTTTACTTAACAAAAAAACTATTTTCTCTTTCTCACTTCTGCCACCTCAATTTAAAAAAAAAGGAAAAAACCCTTGTAACAAATATGCAATCAAGAAAAACAAAATCTACATTATATGTCTAAAAATTTATGTCTCATACTGCATGTGAAGTCCTTCAGGACTGTGTCAGGACATAGATAGAATGCTTCATCATCAGTCCTCTGGAACCACTACTGGTCAATATTCAACTCCTCTACTTGTAGCCTTTATCCCATCCCCTCCCATCAACTCTGGCAGCTCACTCCCTAAATCATTCCTTCTCTTTATGTCTAGAATCTCCAATTTCTCCTTATCAATTGATTCACTCCCTGATGCCTAAAAACATGACCAAGTATCCCTCATCTTCAAAAAACTCTCACTTAGCCCTATCATCCCTCAATAATTCATAGATCCTACTGGTGTTCATCTATTCCACCCATAATCTGGGCAGTTAATTTTCTTTCTATGAGGAATTCTTTCCTTTCCAGAGCTCTACTTACTACTGGTTTCTTTCCCTACTGTGATTCTTCTTTCCAGTGTCTCTGTTACGTTGCTGTGGTGGTGGTGGTGGGTTGTATGACTGCACAGATATCTTGCAGGTAGAAGGTCTCAAAATTCTTGCAGTCTGCTAGGTTCTCAACTTCAGAGTTGATATTTCTTAAGACTTTATTATCATCAACTTCTCAATCTTTGTCATCCTACATAACCAGTCAGTATTGAAGTCACATCTATTCTACGTCCACAAGATTTCTTACGATCCATCCAGGAGTGTGCTGGAGCCAGCTCTAACTGACTTTTGACAGTCAATTGTTAAAATTTCTGCATGTGATTTCTCAGAAATCAGCAATGACTATAAATCAGGGCTTGATTTATTGTCTTGTTGATTGTCTATATTTAAACAAGTGTTAATGGTATATAATTAATTTATAAATGTATATACACCTTTTTTTTTTTGAGAGCCTGGTAGTTAAACATTTATCAGCCTACCCCTGTATTGTGCTACAAACATTGCTTAAGCTCAGGAAGAGTACATTAGAAGATTAAGGTTCTGGTTCATTAACCATACTGGAGTCCTCATGACTATAGGCTAACAACAATAGCAAACAGGTTTTAAAATGGTGTTTTAGGGTCTGTAACGTACTTTACATCCATTATCTCACTTGGGCCTCACAAAACTACAGTATCCATCCCATTCTCTCCACTCACACTACCACCACCACACTTCAGACCCTTGTCACCCCTCTCCTAGACTGTTCTAATAGTTTCCTAATTGATCTCCCCAAATCAAGTCTCATCCCTCCCTAATCAATACTCCACACAGCTGACAAAATGACACTTCTAAAGTATAGGTCCGACCTTGTCATCTGCCTACTCAGTAATCTCTAATAGCTCTCAATTACCTCTAGGATTAAATACAAACTCTTCCACTTGGCATTTAAAGTCTTTTATAACCTGGCTCCAACTTGCCCTTCCAGTCTTATGTATTAGTCCTTTCTATACAGTCTAATCTGCCACTATTATCTTGGTGAGTATTTCGCTTGGCTTTCATGTTTCTTTATGAGAAGATGAAGTGTTAGCTATCTGAGCAGCTTTGGGGCCCTTTGGACCTCTTTGCTGTGATGAAATTTTCACATCAGATAAACTTCAATCCCAAATAGTGAAAATCAAAGTTAGTAGCTTTATACATTTTTCAGCAGCAAAAGCTTTTTTTAAAAAATAAATTAGGTTGGAGCTATTTTAAGTAGTATTTATTTTGACCTTTGCTGTAACTAGTCAATGGTTAAACTGCAACACAGATAGTAATAAATTCTTTGTGACTGACTGATTCAGAAATTATTCCCTTGTCTGAAATCAGTTTTCCTGCCTGAGATGTTATCAGTTTAACTGTTTGCTGTTATTCAGTGCTCACCAAGTCCAGAGCATCTGAAGACTCCTCATAATCCAAGAATCCATGATATAAAGCATAAGGTTTCTGAGTAGGCCTTTGAAGCTACTGGCTTCTCTCATTTCTTAAGCTATATTTTCCAACATAATTTTCTCATTCTCTCCTATGCCCATTATTGCATTGAAGTCACTGAGACCCAAACTATACATTGGTTTGATTTTTAAATTCTTCATAAAATTCCTTTGCTTCCTCATCCTTTACATCAGATGTTGGCCCTTAAGCTGCAATTGTCTTTATGGTGGACCTTTAGACAATGTTTCTTCCTATTCTTGAGTATAAGAGGAAGTCAATTCCACCAACTCCTTCATTTGCTTTTCCAAGAAAACCTGTGCCACTTAGATTTAGCTCCTAGTTTCATTTATGCTGTGAATATATAGACTGATGTGATTCAGTTGCTCCCAGTAACATATCAACATGCTGGTTATTGGGACAAAGATCTTGCCTTTAAAATCCCAATAGTTGAATTAGTGTTTATAGGCACCCTTAAATCTGCATCATCCTCAGTAACCACAGCCCCCTTTCCTACCACTGCACCATGCCACTGTGGAAGCAGAGGGGAGTCTCTCAGGACTGATAGTCATTTGTACGTTTCTTTGTTTAACAGGTAGCGTTGGCCAAAGAAATCCTCACCTAGTTTTCAACCTATATGAGACAAACCTCTCCCTACTTAGCTAGGCTGGTTCTTAGATAGCAAACAGAGTCTGCCACCAGAGCTATATATGAAGCATTTTCTATTTGGAAGAAATCAATAAAGGTTGTGCTCTGCTGGAGTAACCTCCAAAAACTGAGGACCACCCAGGAACTATATGAACACAATTACAAAACACCTTTCACACAAAAAAAGACAGAGCTAAACAACTAGAGAAATATTAATTGCTCGTGGGTAGACAGAGCCAATATAATAAAAAAGACAATTCTACCTAAGTTAATTTACTTATTCAGTGCCATACCAATAAAACTACCAAAGAATTATTTTAAAGAGCTAGAAAAAATAATAACAAAATTCATCTGGAAGAACAAAAGATCAAGAATATCAAAGGAATCAATTTTTTTAATATGAAGTAAAGAAGCCTAGCAGTTCCAGATTTTGAACTATATTACAAAGTGGTAATCTTCAAAACAATCTGGTACTGGCTAAGAAATACAGTGGTAGATCAGTGGAATAGATTAGGTACACAAGACACAGTAGTAAATGATCCTAGCAATGCAGTGTTTGACAAACTGAAAGATCTAAGCTTTGGGGGTAAAAACTCAACATTTGACAAAAATTGATGGGAAAACCGGAAAGCAGTTTGGCAGAAACTAATCATAGACCAACCTCTCACACTGTAAACCAAGATAAGGTTAAAATGGATACATGATTTAGACAGAAAGGATAACATCATAAATAAATTAGTGGAGCATGGAAAAATGTGCTTGTCAGATCTATGGATAAGGCAAGAGTTTATGACCAAACAAGAGATAGAGATCTCATATGGGAAGTAAAATAGAATATTTTGATTACATGAAATTAAAAAGCTTTGGCACAAATAAAACTAACGCAGCCAAAACTAATGCAGAAAGAAAACAAGAAACTGGGGGGGGGGGGGGAATTTCATCAAATTTCTCTGATGAAGACCTTATTTCTCAAATAT